AGCACAAAGAATGCAGGAAACTATAGCAAGTGTTTCAGCTTCTCTGTGCTTGCTGCTTAAAGTTCTGCATATGTTTCAGTAAAAATACATCATTTATTCTATTTTGTTCGATAGTTTTTTAAATTATTTCTTAAAATACATAGCTCCTGCAAAGAGTGATGTTTGTTGTGCCATACAAACTGAGGAAAAAATTTAGAGCAATAACTCCTGTTGGCATACCCTTTTATTTACAGCGTACCTCATGTGTAGTGGTTACTGTATTGGTTTGGATATATAATTTTTGCTATAAGTGGTATTTGAAGGTATACCACTGGTAGCTATGTGACACCCCCCTTCCCCTGAAACATTCATTATGTTTTGGGGGGAAACCCAGGGTAGTGGAAAGGTGGGGCTACAGAGAAACTCTGATTATATTTCATTTCTTAAAGCATTATTTCAAGCAGCTAAAATATTGCTTTTCTTTTTTAAAGAATTCTTTTCCCCCATAATGAGGTGGCAGTCTGTAAATTAAATCTGTGTTGCACTCCAGAAATTAGATTTTCAGGCATGTAAAAACCACTATTTAAAGTAATAAAAATAGTATTGCAACCATTCCATAATTTTGTTGAATATAGTTTTTCAAAAGATGCTGAAATAATTTCTAATTTGTGTAAAAAATTTCCACTTCTCAAGTAAGTTTAGACCCAGGATTAGGAATAAAATTGTATGTTTTCTCTTTTGCAATATTATACATATGATGTGATGCAAAAGCTGTTTCCCTTTATACATCTTATAAAGACATTAACTTTAATGTTAGTCCTGTGACTGACAATGGTGTTACTCAGAAGCAAAGAAAGACAGGTTCTTAATTAGTGGTAGTGGTAACTAGTGCCTCAAAAAGCAACAGCCCTAGTCAACTCCCACCCAGACCTTCTCTCTGCTCAAACCCCTTATGCTGTCCAACTCCAGCCATGCTCATAGAGCCATGATAGCTAAATAGAACCTCCACATTCCAAGGGAGTACATCTCTGGGGAAACATCAGCGGAATGCTTTCCCCCTCATGCCATACTGATAAATTTCCCAAAGGTCTTTGTTTGGCCACAGCTGGATGCAGAATGCTGCATTGGATAGAGGCTAGTGACTTGCCCAAGATCACCATTTAAATTTGAGGCAGAGGTAGTGTCTGGACCTCCAAAAACCAGTCCATTGGTTTTCTCTCCATGTTTACTGCTGCAACACATTTTTTTTAATATTTTATTATTTTCCAAATAACATGATTGCAACACAAATCATACATTTTAAAGTGCTATACAAATTAATACATTCTCTAATACACCATATCACTGGCAATGTCTGCTTACATTATAAGTGTTAAGAACAAAAAGAATTTCCTTCGTCGTTACCAGTGGTAGCTTAAGAAACTATTTTATTCCTTCTCCTTGAACTCGTGCCCAAATAATACATAATTAATAAAGAGATTTTTTAAATTTATCCCAAGCTGTTTCTCATGTATCTTAACTATATTATTTTATGCCTTTTAATTACTCTTAGTGAAAAACTAAAACAACGGCCACAAAATTTTTAACCTTCTTGGTGGAGTCTGTCAACACATTTGACAGAAGGCAAATCAGAGAGACTGAAAGACTTTCCTGAGGTCAATCAATCAATCAATTTATTTCTACAGTCCTTAGACCAGTCATACAAAAAGAAGTACACCTTTACAATATTCCAAGATTTTAAAATACAACAGTGACACATTAAAAGCAAATTAAAATTTATATCAAACAACTATATCTAACTAGCTGCCTTAGAGTTTCCGTGATCTGAGTATCACCATACAGAAATTGGCTACTTGGTGGGTAATTTGTGGGTTTCTATCAGATTGAAGAAATTCAAGTCTAGCTTTTTCGGAAAGACCCAGAATTTGTTCAGTCAGCGGAGTGATTTTATTATGCGCCACCTTATAATCTGGACATCTAAAAAACATGTGCTCTATAGTCTCAACCTCCCTTAATGGGCAGGTACAAAGCCTTTCTGAGAAAGGAGTATTCTTGTATTTTCCTTCACGTACAGCAGAAGGGAGGGCAGAGCACCTCGCCAGAGTAAAGGCTCTTCTAAACCCTTTTACTTCAAGAGATGTTAAATAGTTGGCTGGACCCACAGTATTTTT